TAAATATTTCTGGATGCATACACAAAACCTCTTTGGGGTCCTCAACAATTTTTATGAATGTAAAGGATCCAAGACCAAAAGGTTTGAGAAGCACTGATTCAATTGGACCAGTCTATCCATTAACTGATCAGTGTAAAGATTCCCACATCAGATGGCGAGTGTAAATCTTAACTCCAAACCCGTACCTGACTCTGTCTCGGTCTTGCAAGTTTCTGGGCAACTTTTGTGTCCCCTTCACAGAATCCTGGACAAAGACAGGCTCTCATTTCATCCTCAGCATTTTATTGCTGGTTTCATTCCCCAGGATCTTATTACTTGTCCTTCTTAGTCAATAAGAAACCCATACACTACAAAAAAATGCATAATGTCTATTTATATGTAAAATGCACTTCCATTGAGTCAATGCCCACTCACAGTGATCCTATAGGGCAGGGTAGAACCAACCCTGTGAGTTTCTGAGACTGTAATTCTTGACGGGAGTAGAAAGTTCGTCTGTATCCCAAGGAGCAGGCTGGTGGTTTCGAACTGTTGACTTTATAGTGATGCACCCAACAAGTATATATATATAATAACTAAGAGAAATAAGATAATGTTTGTCAATATAACAATTAACATCTGCCAGTGTGTCATACTATAGCGGCCTGCGCATTGTTGTGATGTTGGAAGCTATGTCACCAGGGTTTCAAACACCGAAAGGGTCACCCTGATGAAAAGATTTCAATGGTGTGTCCAAAGACTAGCAAGAAGGAGGGAAACCCTTATGAATCAGTAGCTGAACCCTGTCTGACGGAGGCCAGAAGACAAGCCTCAGGTTGGAAGGCACTCAAAATACAATGGGCATAGCTATTTCCTCAGAGCAGCATTGACCTTAATGACGCCATGAGACCAAGATTTAGGGTCCTCCATTAGCTGATGGGGCATGACTCAAAATGAGAATGAACAGCTTCCAACACACATGACTCAGTCACGGCATGTGCAGAGTATGAACTCAGGAAAACTGCCGTTGTGGTTGTCGTTGTTAGGTGTGTCGAGTGGGTTGTGACTCCCACGGACCCATGTACAACACAATGAAACGCCGGTCCAGTCTCGTGTCGTCCTCACAACTGTTCTGGGAAAATCGGAAGTCGTCAAGCTAGTATGTATTATATCTCCATGTAAAGAGAAAAAAATCACCACCATTGGACCAGGAAAACCCATCGTGGTAAATGAAGACAGGATTACGGTTTTCAATGATTTCATTTTACCTGGATCCACAATGAGCGCTCATGGAAGGGAGCACCAATGGTCAAGACATCAAACAATGTACTGCATTGGCAAATTTGCTGCAAAAGATCGATGTGAAGTGTAAAAGTACAAAGCTATCCCTTTGAAGACTACCGTGCACCTTCCAGAACCCGTGATGTTTCCAATCCCCTCACATGCATTTTGAAAGCCGAACGATGAATCAAGAAGACCCGCGGGGAAATGACAGCTTTGAATTACGGTGTTGGCGAACAATATTTAAAGTACAACACACTGCCAGCAGAGTGAGCAAACGCACCTAGGAAGTACAAGTAGAAGGCTCCTTCAAGCAAGGATGACAAGACAGCGTTTCATGTACTTTAAACAGATTCGCAGAGAAACCAGTCCCTGGAAAGAGACCGTGCTTTGGAAAGTGAGATGGGCGGGTGCAGTATGTACAACCTCGGTCACAACAATTACGAGGACGGCCAAGGACCAGGCACTGTGTCCTTCTGTTGTCCACACCCAGGGCCCATGGGTCGGAACCAGCATAACAGCTGAAAATTCACTGCTGCCAAGGCGCTGCCCACTCAAAGTTATGAGTGCAGGGTGGAACTGCCCCTGGGTTTCCGACACTGTAACTCTGCGGGCGTAGGAAGCCTCATCTTTCTCCAGCACACAACTGAAGAAATCATAATTCCAAGAAATAAAAGTCACACTGCCATTCATAATACTAGCAAGTGATTGTGTGACTACTAACAAAATAATCCTACAGTTTATATTCTAATGCAAAGACTAAATATTGTCCAACACAATACAGAAAAAGAACAGAGTAAGAAGATGGACAAGACTCTGCTTTAAGACTTACTACAAATTTACAGTAAGTAAGAGAGCATGCGAATGACAAAGGATACACAAGTAGATCAGGGAAACAAAACACCCCCAAATAAGCCTACAAAGATATGATTAAATGTCTGAAAAGGAGCTGAGTCACCTCTATGCAGTAGGGGTTTCAAAAAAACTGGATCTAAGCACAGGTCTACACCATCTACAAAAATCAACTTAAAATGGACCACAGACCTCAATGCTAAGAGAAAAATTACAGAACTTCTACAACATAATACGGTGAGGAAACTCTTCTTTGTTCTCAGCAGAAAACAAATAATTAAAACTTGGTTAACTTGGCATGTAATGAGAGATGGAAAGAAAAACACCATTTTCTTAAAAGACCAAATAAAGATGATTATTCCAACCAAAAAAAAAAAAATTAGCAACTTCTGTAAAGACTCTGGAAAGGCAAACCACAGGCTGGGAGAAAATGTCTACAAAACAAATATCTAACAAAGGACGTGTCCCCTCAATAGACAAAGAATTCTCCGTCTCAAGAACATGATCCAATTTTAAAATGGGCAATACAGCTAAACAGCAAAAAAAAAAAAGCGACCATGCTATCCTCCAACAGGAGAAAAAAGAAGCACTGTATGGAATATCTAGACAATAGAAGATTATTCATCAATGAAACAGCAGCTACTGAGCTATGTAAAGACATGCAAGAAATGTCAATGCACATTGCCAAGGGAATGCAGCCAGAAAATGCATACTGTACCTATGATTCCACCCACATAATATTTTATAAAAGACTAAACTATCAAGATAACAGACAGATCTGTGGTTGCCTGGGGTTTATGGCAGGGAGTAGGGGGAGGATGGGGCACAGGGCATTTTGAGGATATAATGTCATATGTCAAAATCCACAGAACTATCACCAAACCATTATATACATATACAATTGGAACACAATTCAATAATGGACACTTTGAGTCGTTAACCTTTTTTGCCAAGCTTTGAAGCTTTTCAGATGAGTGCAATTAAGAAATAAAGAAAATTCTGCTAAATTAGAAAGATTTTTTTTTTGTTTCAAAAATCCATAGAACTGTACAACCCCGAGAGTGTTCCCTAATAGATCCTACGGACTTCAGCTACTAAGAGTGCCCCAGTGTGACAGTTTGCAAACACAAGATGCTAGTAACAGGGCCAGCAACGCGAGTGGAGACCCAAGGAGGAGGTGAGGCGTGGGATTTCCCTCAACTTCCTCTGTAAGTTTTTCATAAACCAAAAATGTCTCTCAAATACAAAGTATTTTAAACGTTTTAAAAAATACTTGACTAAAGGTAACTATGAAAACAAAACCATAGAGTTCATATTATTTCTCAATGTATCTAGAAATAACAATAATTCTATTAAAAGGGTAACCAATAGCAACGTAATATTTTTGAAATTAGAAAACTATGAATGATGACCGAATCAAAAGATAAATTAAAATACAAATGACTGATCCTTTAGAGAATAGTGCACATATTTTTTTTAAAAAACAGACTGAATAGTGATTAGTCTGAAATTTAGCATAGATCTCTCATCGATCATGTCATTATGGTTGTTAGCTGCTGTCTGCTCAGTTCCAACTCTTAGTGACCCTGGACACCACAGGCCAAAACACCACCCACTCCTGCACCAGCCTCACAACTGTTCTTGTTTAAGCCCGTTGTCCCAGTCCCACCGTGTCGATGCACGGTGCTGAGAGCATTCCTCTTTCCACTGTCCCTCCACTGATTATGCAATTATTCCCATTGGGGTGTGGGTAGTGAGGGAAACAGTAATAAGGATTTGGGCTACGTCAATTTTTTAAAATTTTTATAAAGAAAGGCAAAATAGTTTATAATGAACATTGGAAATTAAAAGGTGAATAATACATGGCTTGCAAATACTATTCATACGTTTTCATAAAAATTCTCCAAGAAGTGAATTAAAAAATTATTCTTTAATCTAAAAATATTGTCTCCATTTTAGTTTGTCAATCCTTCTAAGCATAGAAATAATGGGTGCAGAAGGCAAAGCAAAGCTTTCTCTTTCTTTTTTTTGGTGAGAGGGGGAGTCACATGAACCCAAGGGGAAGTTCCCGCTCAGCTTTCAGACTGTGACCGTGGGTGAGATGCCTTTTGTCGGCCTCAATGTCCTTCCAGGGAACATCAGGGTACTTCCACTGGGCCCTTCACGGGAGTGTTGTGGGAATTAAATAAAGATGCTTAGCTTTGATCTAGATGTAGAACGGCTCAGGACATACAACTGTGACACTCGGAAAGACAACTAAGAAGAAGAGGAAACACGTGAATAAAAATAAACAGAGGACCTTATAGAAGGGACTCCAAAAGTTCATAGGGGAGCGGAGGGGTGGGGGTTGAAATGGAATTAAAAGATAATGGCTTTTTTCCATGAATTTTCTGAAACCCCATTTATATTTGCAGCTAGCAAATGTCAAAGACAGCAAGATGAAAATGAAAATTACTTTAGAAAAGATGATGCTTAAATATATGTCCAAACATTTATCATCTTTCCTTAGAGGTAGGTGTGTTAAACAATTCAACGTTGTCACTGCAGTGGGGGCCCCAGATAGGGATCAAACTGACTTACGGATGTGTTGCAGTAATTAGTCTTACACATTTGAAATGAGTTCACATTTTGATAAAATAGCTGCCGATATACCAGATATAGTTTCTACACTAAACTCGTGAATCTGAACTGTAATTTATTTCTTCACAGAGGTTAAGTTGGAACATACCCAGAAGCTATTTATTTCATCCTCTGATACTTCAAGATAAGTTTTCATGATAAAAATGGAAGACAGATGAAAAATAAATTAAAGGCTTCAAATGGTATGCTTTGGGATCTCCGTTTCTTTCTTGTTTTAATTGTTCCCATCTTTTAATTAGCATCTTCTACACCTACATTTCCTAATCTGTTCTTTATTGCACACCTTCTTTATACCAACAATCACAGTAGATTTAAACCTTTATCAGACCTTCTCTGACCACTGAGAAGGAACAACCATCTAACTTGCGATGCCTGACATCAATGTCATTGATCGAGTGTGAGGCAGACACTATGCTCAGGTCTCCTAAAGAGGGAGCCAGAGTGAGAGTAGCTCTGATCAGAAGTCTGCCAAGGTTTCGAGAGGCCACTGGGCTCAAAGAACAATGTGACTCTACACAGCCTACTAACCCAGCCTTAGCCGGCACCTTCATGGGCAGGTCACATAAGGCTATCTATCTGAAAGGACGGCCACAAGGGGGGCCTAGCTAAGCGCTAAGGGAATAGTAATGACTCATGCTGGGGCATGCTGACCTACTGCAACAACATCAAACTAAGCCCACGCCACCAAGTCCATTCTTACTCAGAGTTACCCCGTAGGGCAAAGTAGAACTGCCCCCTTTGAATTTCTGAGGCTGTAAATCTTTACAGGAGCAGAAAGCCCCATGGTTCTCTGGTGCAGCTGCTAACAACCTTCAAAACTACAGTCATTCCACACAATAAAGACTCGATTCTAGAGGATGGGGCGATGGGTGCAGATCCCACATGAGAAACAGTGAGGCTGGAGAGAGAGGAGTTAGCATTTGCGACAATATTTGTCGGCATTTATTTCACACATACCCCCAAACACACACTATTTATAATTGGGGAGCACCAGTTTTATCTCAGAGGCTATTCAGAGGCAGAGGAAGAAGAATCAACTACCATGGACTATCCTGTGCCACCATATTGGAACTGAATTTGATTAAACCACAGACATTTTATTTTACAGGTTGCAAATACATGCAAAATGTACAAAATCGCCTGTTGTGTCTTCTTTAAACATTTCACGGTGTTTCCTTAAAAGTCCTTTCCATAGAAAAACACCATTCCGCTCAGAACAAATTTTATGTTTCCAGAAAGTTCACGTTCTACATTAACATTGTTGAGGACTGTGTCTTGGGCCATGGCCAAAGTGAGAGCTTCTTGCACGTTGGCAAAGCGGATCATTTGGTGCCTCTTTAAAAGAATACCATTTAAAGCAGCGGTTCTCAACCCGTGGGTCATGACCCTGTGGGGTCTAACAACCCTTTCACAGGGGTCACCTAAAACCATCAGATAACACCTATTTCCAGTGGTCTTAGGAACCGAGACGCGGCTCCTCTATCCGTCTCCAGGAGGTCCGCCCTCATGCGGATACGCTCCTGATCTGGTGAGAAAGAAGCTATCTCAACCTTCACACTGACGTTGGCTTTTTACGCAGACTGTCCCAAAATGTAGCAATGTTATACTTTTGTTATATTAAGACTGTTACCCATGCTACACCAGGCTTCAAGACTAAATTTCATTGATTTTTAATTAGAAATAAATATTTCACAATATATAATTACATATTGTTTTTGTGATGAATCACTACTTTAAATATGTTCAATTTGGAACCATGAAAATACATCCTGCATATCAGATATTTCCATTACAATTCATAACAGTAGCAAAATGACAGTTATGAAATAGCAATGCAAATAATATTATGGTTGGGGGGGTCACCACAATATGAGAAACTGCATTAAAGGGTCGCAACTACTGCTTTAAAGGATATTCTGATCCCTTGACTGATTTCTCAGTCTACACTCAACGGGATACCTTAAGATTTTCTCAAATTTGGGTAAGCAGACTCCGCAATTTCTAGGGTTCCCATGGATTTCACACCCCACTGACAGTGTGACTCCTCCAGGAACTGACCAACCACCAACACTGAGCTCTTCTTACCCGTGTTCAGCTGGATTTACCCCAGTGGTCTGGCCACATTCTATCTGTGGACTCTGCCTCTCTTTAACCTTGAGGCCATGTGGTTTCCGATCATTTACAGTACCTCCAGGCTCGCTTTCAGTGTAACAATGAAGATTACAGGTTTACACTGGTACCTGCCCAAGACCCAAAACCTGAAGTGCGGTGACCATGCTCATGTTTATTTCCATGGGTCCACCAATGCTGCCTCCCACTTCATCATAACATTCCCTAGCACCGTGGTTCTCAATCTTCCTAATGCTGCGACCCTTTCATACCATTCCTCATGTGGTGGTGACCCCTCAACCATAAAATGATTTTCGATGCTACTTCATCACTGTAATTTTGCTACTGTTATGAATTGGGCGACCCCTGTGAAAGGGTCGTTCGACCCCCAAAAGGGTCACAACCCAAAGGCTAAGAACCACTGCTTTAGCAAAAAAGTAAAATAAAATAAATCAGAATCTTCAAGTACTAGCAGCAGTATCCTCTGTTCATACAGTTCTATGCCTCCAAAAAGAATCAATCACTCCTGTTTTAGTACTCCTTCATGAGCTTTCTCCATTCTATACCAGCAACTCCACCTCCTGAACACTTACTTGATGCTCTTTCAGTTTTGAGACCAAAAATCCCTGCCTTAAAGAAATCCCTTAAGATCTTATGATTTGGGCTTCTTTTTAGGTTGAGGGATTATGGAGAAATAAAGGAAGAACCGTTTCTGCTCATGTTCCCTGAACTTAAAAACCTCCGCGGTTAGTCAGCATCACGGGCAGGCATCTAACTTAACATACTCCGGAGGGCTCTGCTGCAAGTAACATACAGGTAAAAAAGGATCACATTCCACACAAGTAAGTGAACTTCCTTGATATAAATGTCTACATTTATTTGTAGTTGTAGAGCATTCATAATTAAAATGTTTCTATTACTCTCTAATTACTGTAGTTGGAATTTGTTCTATGCAGCAGATACTGTGCACAGATATTTGAACATATATAATTCAAAAAAATTGGTTTTAATGATATGTGATCTACTCATATGAGAATAAGAACAACAATGTAATTTGAAACAATTGCTTCTTAAAGTTAATTTGGGGGAGGCAATAGTAACCATCCAATTAAAAAGAGCAAAACCCACCTACAAGAGTACTAGTAGCATCCTGACAAAAGTAGTGGGGGTGTGCCTTGAAATAAAAAACAAGGAACAAGTGGAAAGAGTTCAAGAAATACAATTGCCAGAAATAATAATGAAAAAGTCTAAGGAAAAAATACATACAGATATTGGACTATATTTATTTAAGAGGAAATGGAGAACAATTATGAGGTTAACAATATCAAACATTCAATAACAAAGCTATATTGGAAAAAATAACACAGCTGCTTTCCTAGAAAGATGAAAAAGACAAAATGTATCCCATAGGGTCTCCTTTGACAGCTCTCTATAATTGTCCTTTCAGAAGTTTTCCATTTGAAAGAAATCGATGGCATGCTAGTAAGACTCGCTTGTAACTTGTTGCTTAACGAACACAGAAGTTAAAAAAAAAAGAGACGATAACCTTCACTTCTATGACACAAACGCCACTCACAAAATATCTAAAAATGTATCTTTACTTACAATTGGCATTGATCCCCTTTTATTCCTTTGGTTGTGCAGAAACATTTTCCTGTGTGCATATGACAAACATTGGCGTGGCCACTGCATGTGCAGGCTGAAAGTCAAACCCAAAGTGAGACTGAGTGGTGTGCATCACAAACACGTACATCTCATTTCAGGGAAGGAATTATTATTATTATCTTTATACCATGCTATGTCCTTTTTGCATACAAACACTAAGGCGGCGATTTTTTCTTTCATTAATGGGGAATAATTTTTGCTATTGGGAAACTTTGTGAAACCCTTTAAAATTGTTAGGGGCACCCCATAGTCTAGTATGGATCCAAGTACTCCTCTAATTCCTCCTTGAACTTCTTTCCATTTCTAATTTGGTACATCATTTAATATAACATATTTCAGAGAGCTTTAAATTCAAGCGACCACCTTCAAAACCTGTCTCTACAATCACTAGTGATGTGAGCTGGAGCAATTAACCTCCCTCAAGTTAGTCAGCTGCAAGAGGAGAATGATACTATTTAGCTCGCGGGGATCATTGTAAAATATTAAATGAGATCAAGTAACTTAAAGTACTTAACATACATCAAGCACTCGCTAACAGCTTCCCTTACTATTAGTACTGGTAACAATAAAACCTATAGCTGCAGATTGTATAAAAAAGAACTGGCGTATGGGAATCTATGTAGCACACTATTGCAAGACTTAACAATCTGTGAGAACTCTCTATACACTGCCGCCAATTCTCTTTTGCTCCGAAAACTCAAGTCCATTTTTAAAAAGGATGTTTATGTTTCCTAATCACCCTGTGTGAGCTCCTGAGCTCATTCTCCATTTTCCCATTCCAGGATACACTAAGAAATTCCACGATCTAATAATGGCATTTGTTCAATCACCTTCAGATGCACTCGGTCTCATTTCCCTTACTTTGCGTTCCTTTCAGAAGGGGCAGCGTTCCCATTACTCAGGACACGAACTTCATACTTCATTGTGCCGAGTATCCGTCCAACTTATCGGTCCTGATTTTCGCATGCACGTTCAAATTTTCCCATGGTTCCTCCTTCTTATTCTGAAAGCCACAATTCATGTTCTGTCACCCACTTTCTCTTATCAACGCCAACGCCTGGCCACCCTACGCAACGGGGCTTCATGGACAAATTCCATTAGCTTTCAGTTCCACTTTGCAAAGCCCCTCCTAGGTGTCAGAATAGAACTGGGCTCTCCAAGATTTGCAGTGGTTCGTTTTTCAGACGTAGATCACAGGCCCTTTCTCCGAGATGAGTGTACTTAAACCAGGTGTCTGTCTTTGAGCCCAGTGCATTAACCATCGGCACCAAGCACTGTGCTTATCGTACACATTTCACATAACGGAAACCATATGACATGAAGTCTTTCATGCCTGGACTTTTTTTTCAACGCGTATAATGTTTTCAAGGTTCCACCATGTTGTAGCAGGTAACAGAATTCTGCTCTTTTTTAAGGCTGAGTGTACAATGAAAGCATATTTTGTTTATCCATTCATCGGTTGATAGGCATTTGGAGTTTTTTCCACTTTTCAAATATGATGAATAATGTCGCTCTTAAACATTCATGTGAGGTTTTTAGGTTTTAGATTGAGCATGTACTATCATTTCTTTGGAGTATCCAGGTGGATGTAAACTTCCTGAATCATATGCAGACGACCTCTGTTAAAAAGCCAAGCTGTCACTTTGAGGCCAAAGCTGTGCTTGCCACCAGTCAGGGGCCTGTGGGTCGCCTGGGGACGAGCGAGAGCTAGACAGTGATTAGGGAAGAGTGCAGGCCAGCAGAAGCTTTGGAACGACAGGGGGGGGGCGAGAGAAGAGCAGGGAGAGGACCAGCGGGTGCACGTGTGTCTTGGAAGAAATGCAATAAGAATGTGTCTCAGAAGTGAGGATAAGGACACTTCATTTCACCGACTTTGGACACGTTCTCAGGAGAGACCAGTCCCTGGAGACCTGCTAGTAGAAGGGGCAGTGGGGGAAAGGAAGACCCTCAATGAGGTACACGGGCACAAATCTGTTCTAATATATATTTTAATGGATACTCTTTGGGATTCCCTATATACAAGGTCCAAAAACACCCAAAGTCACGGCCATCGAGTTGGTGCTGACTTAAATAAACCCTACAGGAAAGCATAGCGCTAACTGCCGCTGTGAGTTTCCAAGATTGGAACTCTTCAAGGGTGTAGAAAGCCCCACCTTATTCCCTTATAGCAGCTGGTGGTTTCACACTGCTGACCTGCAGGCTGCAGTCCAGCACTTAACCATTGTGCCACCACGGCTCCTATAAATGCGATTCTGCCATCTCGGTGTTTATTGTATTGTTTCCTTTCCCATTGGAATGCCCTGTATTGCTTTTCCTGGCCTGTCTTGACTATAATCTCCAAACTAGGATAAAAATAAGTGGCAAGCACTAACACCCCTGTTTTGTCCTGTGGGTGCTTTGTAGTGCCCTTTATCAAGTTGTGGGAATACTACTTTTATTCCTGATTTGGTCTGACAATCCACTTTCCTTTGAGAACACTAGGGACCGCAGTTTTATCCGGACATACCATCAGTCACCGTAAGTTGGAATCAATTCCCCAGACGTGCTTTGTTTTGTTTTCCAAGAGAGAAGAGCGCATTGGTGGTGGACGGCACTTGGAGCGTATTAGTGGTGGACGGCAGTTGGTGGTGCCTGGGGTTGATGCTGGGAAGTGTGAAAATAAGGGGAGCGACTATTAACGGGTAATATTTGGGGGGAGTAACTTTGGGAGGGGGAGTGACTTCTAAGAAAATATTTTACAATCAGACTGATGATTTCATAGTTGTGAATGTAGTAAAAATAATTCACAAAATACCAAATATAGGAATAAATATTTTAAAGCCTTAATTGTGAGGAAAATGGGTCATAATATTCTAGCACAATAAGCTTCTAATTGCTTATGATTAGTTACTTTGAAAAACTGGAGGAATACTATGAAGTACAAACAAAAGAAGTTTTAGTACTACTTAGAATACCAAGTACAGCCTTTATCTTTTAGTAAAAGATTTTTACATGAAGTTGTAAGCTTTCTCCATAATGAATATTTTTTTAAATATGTATGAGTTTCCTTGTAAGTTTTCAGAAGTTAACTATGGGAAATCATAGCGTAAGAACCAGACATAGAAGTCAAGGTGTAGCATTGCGAGGAACCAAAGAAACTATCATCGAATAATAAGTGGACCCCAGATATTTTGATAATGTGTAACTTCATAAATAGTGAATGCATACACCATGACATCTTTTAATATTAGCCTGCACAGTTCCCGCTGTGACTGTCTTCAACTCAGAACTTCACTTAAAAAAAGAAATGATGCATATTAATATTCAAAAACTTGGATCAGCCCTTTATTTATCCTTTCTGGCAGATGTGGATAATAGTTATGCTTCCAGAGGTTCTTGAAAGAATTACAATTTTATATAGTAACTTTAATGATTGCTGAGACCAAAGAAAATTGCATTAAAATACCTTTTAATGTGAGCTCATGTTTGAGAGAATTCCCTGGTGATGTTGTACTCCACAGTAAAATGACACAAATGGATTTTAAATTCAATTGTTTAAAATGTATACTTCATGACAGTGTTGGAAATATTCTGTTGTCAGCATTTGAAGCTACCCTTTTATGCTGAATAAGCACCTATTAAATCATCACACAACGAGCAATTGTTTGGGAAATTTTATATAATGATGATTTTAGTGCCTAGATATTATACACAAGAGGGATATAAAGTGCTCACATGATATTTCTGCACCCTTAAATAAGTTACAATACCAACTGAAAAGCAAAACAAAACAATAAAGATAGAAAAAGAGGATACCTTGAAAATCATTTAAACAAGTCACATGGAAAGAATACACTTCCACTGTTTCTAACATGGAACCCCAAAGTAGTACTTCTTGTACTTGAAGGACAAGTTCATGCTCTTATGTCTTTTCTCTGCTACATAATTATAGCCTGCATATGGCAGCATCGTCTGGAGGTCAGGTGAATGGGCCCACTTAGCTTCCTTTGCATGTTTCTAGCATAATTATACTTAATAGGGATGTTATGAGATTATATTTCAAAGATATTAAGCACTCTGACACAGACAAAATTGTAAATTGCGTGAAGATTCAGAATTTCAGTCTCCCAAAATACATTTTATTAGTCGGTAGCTATCTGTTACTTTTACCAAGTATCAAAAACTGAGTGTCTTAAACAACAGCTATCTTCTCACCTGTCTACAGGTGACAAGTTCAAGACCAGCGTGTCAGCAGAGTCCGGCTTTCTCTGCAGCCTCTGGGAAAGACCCTCCTTTGTCTCTCCTAGGTGCTGATGTACTTTTTAAAAGCTTACTCTTTGGAATGGCGGTTGGTGCTTAAAATCAAATAACTGTAATGAGATGATCATCAGATACTCATACTTAAATTTAGAAGGTGAACCAAATCAAAAAAACAAGCTCACTGTCACTGAGTCTATGCCGACCCACTCGACTGCCCCGTGAGTTTCCCTGACTGTCACTGTTAATGGGGGTAGAAAGACCCATCTTTCTCCCGTTCAGAGGATGAAGAGAGCTTGAAAACCATGAAATACGTTCTTTAAATAGTGTCACTACGTTTCTGAAGCTAGAGGAACATGCCTACCAAGAGAAACAGAGTTTTCAAAAAATTGATCTACGGAGAAGGCACACCAGGTAAACATCTTATAAAAGGTATGCAATTGGAGAATTTCGTTTATGATGCAGCGGAAAGGCCACAGCTCTGCCTTACCTGATTTCAATAGGCTTCCTTGATTGTCCTAATACAATTGACGTTAAATTGCTTTTAATGTTATTCCAAAGAGATTCTTTGATCAAACTATAACTTTGTGGCTATATTGTAAACTAATTACTTCTCTATCATTCATTTAATGGTTTCTTTCTAGAATATTTTAAAATTCAGTTTGGCATTTCTCTGCCACATTGGATGCTGATATGCACTAAGAATAAAAACTAATTTTAACTCTTGGCATGTTAAAACAACAAACAAATTCAAGAGCGCCTTATCAAGTGAATGTCATTTATCTGCAATTTTAAGTT